GCCGGTCATGTGACGGGCGGGCGCCGGAGGGCGGAAGCGGCCTCAGCCGCCGCCTGGCGCCGCGCCCCGCCCGCCCCCGGCGGCCATCTTTGGTGAGGGCAGCGGGGCGGGGCGGGCACCGGGACGGAGGGGAGACGGGCACACTGACAGGGGACAGACTGACAGACGGGCACACTGAGTGAATGAGGGACACACGGACAGAGGGACACACTGACTGAGTGAGGGACACACTGACAGAGGACAGACTGACAGACGGACACACTGACTGACTGAGGGGCACACTGACAAAGGACAGACAGATGGACACACTGACGGGACACTGACAGGACAGACTGACAGATGGACACACTGTTTGACTGAAGGACACACTGATAGAGGACACACTGACAAACGGGCACACCAGCAGACGGCCGGACTGCAGGAGTTGCTGTGCAGCCTGTCCCGACTGCTTTGGGAAAAGTTCCTCCTTTTTAGGACAAATCTCCTCAGGGAAATCACGCCTTCCCTTCCCCAGGCTGCCTGCCACTTCTGTGGCAACCGGGATGAAATCACAGAATGGTCTGGGATGGAAGGGACCTTTCAGATCATGGAGTCCAACCATCAACCCAACACTGCCCAAACCCACCACTGACCCACATCCCTCAGCACCATGGCTGCCCAGCTTTTAAATCCCTCCAGGGATGGTGACTCCACCACTGCCCTGGGCAGCATCTTCCAGGGCTTCACAGCCCTTTCAGTGTAAATATTTCCCCCAATATCCAATCTGAACCTCCCCTGGTGCAACTTGAGGCCGTTTCCTCTTGTCCCATCGCCTGTTCCTTTGGAGAAGAGACCGACCCCCCCTGGCTACACCCTCCTTTCAGGGAGTTGGAGAGAGCGAGAAGAGGTGCTCCAGCACCTCAATGTCTTTTTTGTGGTGAGGAGCCCAAAACTGGACACAGCCCTCGAGGTGGGGCCTCACCAGTGCCCAGTAAAGAGGGACGGTCACCTCCTGAGTCCTACTCACCACACTGTTCCTGACACAGGCCAGGATGCTGGTGACCTTCTTGACCACCTGGGCACACTGCTGGATCATTATTAAGCCACTGTCAACCAACACCCCCAGGTCCTTTTCACCCTGGCAGCTCCAGCCACCCTTCCCCCAGCATGGAGCATCCATGGGGTTGGTGTGACCCAAGGGCAGGACCTGGCACTTGGCCTTGGTGACCCTCATACCTCCAGCCTCTCCAGGTCTCTCTGCAGAGCCTTCCTGCCCTCCAGCAGATCAACACCCCCACCCAACTTGGTGTCCTCTGCGAACTGACCGAGGGTGCACTCGACCCCTTGTCCAGGTGGTCTGTAAGGTTATTTAAGAGAACTGGTCCCAGCACAGCGCCTTGGGGAACACCATGCCTGTAACCTCTGTAACCTCTGTAACCAACCACTGTAACCTGTAACCTCTGTAACCACTGAGATGCCCAGTTACCTGAGCACTATGACAACAATAAACTGCAGTAACTGCAGCACAGGATCTTTTCCATCTGTGTGCAGTGCCTGATTCCTGGAGAGAAGCCTAGAGATGCACCACTATACATGAGTAAGCACCACAGCATATGGAACAGAGCTTTTCCTCAGAATCAAAGGTTTTCAGCGTCAGTCAAAGCTAACAACAGGGTAGAGGTCCTTACATTGGACAGGCTCTTCTAAAGGAACCTCCCCCTGCTCTCCTGAGCCCTGGCCAGGACTGAGTGCTGAGTCACTTTGATGATGCCTTGGCTCTGCTGGATGCCTGTGCCATCATCCCGATGTGTAAATATCTGCCTGGAAAATTGTGCATACGGGAAAATGGAGGAATGTAAAAGATTCCTGGCAGCGTATTGGGCTGTATCTTTTCACACAAGGCAGATGTACTGAGTTTGTGAGTACCGGTAGGATGACTGGGACTGTGTGCTGGTCATGCAGCATGACATCTATGGAACATGGGAAGCAAACCAGGGCTCTGCTCTGGTCCTGAAATTTAGCCTAAGGGCATCCTCTGAGAGTCCAACTTACCTGGAGGTCACTCTTACAGCCAAAATTACAGAAGGAAACCCGATTGCTTTGCTCTGACACAGCGCACATCAAATGCAGTTTGCGATGTTTAATGAGAAGTGGGGGTTTGGTTTGTGGTACTTGAGGACTGTAGCTCTGCAGTCCTGTACACACCACCAGAGAGAGACCCCCATGTGCCAGCACCCAGCCCAGGAGGTCTGGGGGTGCACGGGCCGGGACTGATGTGTTGTATGGGGTGGGGAGTATCATCCCTTCCATCCACGGGCTGAACCCCATGCTCTCACCAGACACCCCTCATCATAACGCGGGAGCACGTGGGCTTCATGGCCTGCAGCCATCCACAAAGCATTCCCTAGGCTTCCTCTTTTTTTTACCTCTAATTTCTTCTCTCTAAGGCAAATTCTATCTTAAATCTACCGACACGCTGGGTGTGAGATAATGCCAACAAACCTTGCAATAGCGAGGAACGTGGATTTCTCAGCCCTGCTGCCTCCTTCTCCCGTCTTGCAGACCCTGACTGGTGAGGGTATCTGCCTCCCTTAGCGACACGCTGCACCAAAGGCAGCTTGATCGCAAGGCTGCAGTGCCCGAGTCAAGAAGCCATACCCATAAATGCAGATTTCGGAGTGTGTGAGGAGCACTGACCTTTCCACAACAGATAAGAACACCAGTCCTTACTGCCTGGAGGCTGGCTTTGTAATCAGCAGCATGTACATGGGTGGGTTTATGTATAGGTGTATGTAGACCAGGCAACGCTGGTTGTCACCTGTGCTCTGTTCCTCCAGGCTGTGGGTCATACTTGTAACCCAGTCCTGATGGGAAGTATTTAAAGCATTTTCTGTCTTAATTTATTTTTACTTCTGAAAAGGACTGTTGTTTGCATTCAACCTGTTGCTTTCAGTGCTGTGCTCTGCGCGAGGCTGAGGAGTTGGGGGCATCTCAGCACCCCGCTGCCCTTGGCATCCAGAGAACAGCAAAGGTTTGCACTCCCTTCCTTAAATCCCACCCATGTTACACGTAATCGAGCAAAAAACAGGCACCGCAGCACATCTCAGGCAGAGCAGCAGATGGCTCTCTCTCCTCTGAAGTCCAGTTGGGAGAAGAACTCTCGCAGAGTGCCTGGTCTGAGAGAAACTCCAGCTTGTTCCCTCCAGGGCCAGGGCTCCTCGGGGTGAGCTCTCATTCAGCTGGACAGACGGGGTACCACCGTGATGATACAGGGAGATGTCTGTGCTTTATTTCATGTTTTAAACTGTTTAACGCTACCAGTGCTAAGAAACAGCCCTCAACCCTAAATGTTGAGGGTTGCCAGGGGA